TGAGCCCGGTTTTATCCCCTCCCCCCTCCAGTAAACTTGTCACTTATTTTTGACCCTTCATATTGTGTTAAAATTAGTTCATCTGGGAGAAGAGCTCACAGATATGAAGCGCAATATTGTAGTCCATATTGTCGGGGGGATTTGATCTAGACACTATTTTAATTTGTTATTATAGCCTTGACGCCTAAGGGACCTTACCACGCCTTCAGCATCCATAAAACTGTATTAGCTTAACACTGAAAATCCCTTTCATGGTAGGTAATATAGAATATGTAATTAAACTAGTTCCAAAGGTAAACATGACAGACTAAGGCTTGTGAATAGGATGCACTCTGGAAAGTGAAGGGAATTCAGTGACATCTCTTAAGTCAACATAATGAGCTAAAGCTCACTGAATCTGCATATGGAGACTAAAACCGGCAGAAAATTACTGCTGGTTTAGTAAGTCCTAAACATTTTTCAGTGGGGTTTGACATCCTGGGCAGCGACTTCAACCCATTGACAAAGACTTGGTTTACTTGGTAACTTTTCAGAGACCCCTCCAAGGATAGCAGAAGTCCAAACACCAAGGCTGAAACCTAAACAACTCAGCCACATCTTAGTTGTGACTAAGACTCTTGACACAGGATGTGGCACACATTATTCAAAGTGTATTGATGTTATGCTGTTAGATATTTTATATTAATGCTTCTGAATATTTCCCTATTTATAATCCAAAATGATGGGAGAAGGAATATCTTGATTAGTTATTTGGGTTTTCACATATGGAGAGCTGAGATAGAAAAATGTAGAAGTCAGAATAAAAATCTACATGAAGCTGGCATGGTAGCTCTTTTTTTTTTTTTTTTTTTTTTTTTTAAATAAAACCCCAATCTGTTACCCAAACTGACAAGGCAAAAGTAAAGATCACACTCTCCAAAGTCCTGGGTGAGAAATCAGCCCCCTGACCTCCAACTGGACCAACTGAAGTGAAAGAGGACATCTTTAACATTTCATTACTAAGTTCTGGTGTTATGGTAAGCTATTATGGTTACCAGTTCTTTGCCCTGTTCTGGTGGGACCTTTTGTAGTTGCTACAATAGCAGGACATGTAGAGGTGACCATGTGCTGGCTTCTTAGCTGTTGCCATTCCCAGGCTGGCACATTTACTGAAACCACGAGCAAAGGAGGGTTTGCAGTCAATAGATGCAGCTGAGGACTGTGCATGTTTTTAATTCTGGCACCTCTGCAATGCAGGAGTTGGGATCAGTCACATCTTAAACCATGAAATCTGGGGCATCTGTAGCTCAGGAGCCTAAGTCCTCAAATATACTGATTTGGCTGTGCATTGCAGTAAAAGGCAAGACCATGAATCTTAGAATAATACATTAAAGTTACTCTGTGACCACATGGGGAATGATTTCTTAATTACGCAAATGTGCAGAATGACTGGTACAACTGATGAATTGCAGCAATCAGGTCCATCTGTATGCTAGCTCTAATGTTTTGATTTAAGTTTCACTAAAAAATTCTGGCTCTGTGTGTTGTAAATGTTTTCTTCAGAACATGTCATTTTCAGCAAACTTTCCATAATATAAGGCACAATTACAAGTGGATCCTTCTGGCTTTGTTGGCAAGTCCCCCTTCACCCAGCCGAGGATCCTCCAAGAGCTGTTTGTTGAGCTCAACATTCTTGAACCAGCTCGCTTGAGCCTGAAGTGCGGTGTGGCTCACGCTGGAGACTTGGGTTGTAAATGGACTGGAAGCGAAAGGCCACACCTTCCCTGGAACAGGCGATTGAGGGAAGAGAAGTCCACAAACACAGAAACAAGGGAGGGGAGAAAATGACAGCTAGAAGTCCTGGTCACAATATTGCCACCTGAGCCCTTAGCTCATCCTCATCTGCTTTCTCCAAGAGGCTGGTGTGAGAGTCACTTATGGAAATGGTTACATTTCATTTGGAATAAAAAATAAAAAAGGAAAGAGAAATGCAGGGCACGGGAAATCAGGGTGAAAATTAGACATTGTCTCTGCTGATGTGCATTTAACGTGCTAAAAACAACCAGATAAAAATTGTGTCCTTCTTCTACCCTCCGACTGAATAACAGCCTTACCAACTATGGTCAAAAGCAAGATCCTAGCAATGGTTCAGAAGCAAAATCGATGTCAGCACAGGCTAAATTTTGTTCTGCCTCATGCTCGCAACTGTCAGACAATTGCTGAAATTACCAACGGCTGTAACTTCATTGCAAGCAACAGCACAAGAAAGCAGTTTGCTGGTAAAAAGCAGTTACCGTTTGGAAATGTTTTGGGCAAGCGATTAATGATTTTTTTCTTGGGGGGCGGGCAAGGTCTAGTCTTAGAGACATCCGAGCCTCAGACTCCCACGGCTTCTGCCACAGGCTGAATTCGGATGCTGCAGGAAGAGCCGACCAAGCCCTTGTGGGGATCTGCTGGGATCCGGCGTCGCCCCGGCCTTGGCCGCGGTGGCTCGCAGGAGCCGCAGCGGTGGGCTGTCCCAGGTGGTGCCCGGAGCCCGGACAGCAGCAGCTCCCAGCACTGTCTGTCCCCTGCGGCTCCCGCAACGTACGAGCAACGGCCTCAGGATGGGGGAGGCGGTTGTCCTCGCTTCTCAGTGAGGAATCCGGATCGGTACAAGCCAAACGGATACAGCATCGGCGTTGTCAGAGCGCTTTGAAATGGCTGTTGTGTCACTTAGAGTGGGGTGCCCTCTTTTCAGTCCTTTCCATTCAGGGGTGGTTCGGATAATCCAGCTCTTTTCTGGCACTTACAGACAGGCAGACAAAATCAAGACACTACTGTCCTGGGTTTACTGTACCTTATTTGATGAAAGCATTTTTGTAACTATAGTAAAAATATGTATTTCTCACATTTAGCCTTATCCTTGAATGGCAAAGAAAACATTTCAAGAGCTGTAAAATATTTCAGCTCCTATTTTCATGGGAATCCAATTAAGAAATCAAATAGCTAGCGTATTTAGAGTACACAGAGAATGAGAAAAATGTCAATACAGCCTGGAGATAATCCAAGTGTCACTGAAATTGTTATCTACTTTCTTTGCAATCCCTGAGGTCACTAGACAAAACTTTGTTTCTGTTACTGCTTTATGCTGTCCCTGAATCACAGAAAGAGATAATAATTGCCTCTGTCACGCATCAAAAATGTCCTTAAACAAACACTAGTGGTAACTGGACCAAGGTGTTCCTACAAGCACTGAAAAAGATCTGAGATGCTGAACAAAACTTATCTGATCTTTCCAAGGCACCCTTTCTGAATGCAGGTGGCCATGTCCTCAAGTCACCTGGGTTTCTGAAGAACCCAAAAGCCATTCTCATCAAGCTACTGAAAAATTAATTTCATTTAGGTTTGATCTTCAGTGTTAAGAAAATCCCTTAATTTGTATCTAAACATGTCTGGCATCTCTTTCTCTTCCCTCCACTGTGAATATAATGCAAAGAGGGGCTCTGAGGAATAGTAGAAGGGTTGGCATGTGCTTCTGTGCTTAAACCCTTGAGTTTCTCCTAATTGGGTATGTGGCTCAGCCACACTGGCCCTACTAATATGTGAAGTGGTGCTGTAATGTATGGATTGTTGCTAACACAATGCACGGGGAAGGAGGGGAACTACAGTAGATTGGAAAGCACGTCTTGACACTAAACCAGGAGGAAGAAAATTACTTGGGGTGCATGTTGGGATGGTACAGATAAATTTAGAGAAAAGGAATAAAATGACTAGTTTTTTGTCCAAGAAGGAGCCTGGTCCCTGGGTAATGTTGTATGCATAAACAATGAAACTGAAATTCATGAAGAAATAAAACATGGGTGGCTAAACATTCCCTTTCTCACCTCAGCTTCACTTCTAGATGGAGATGTTTTCCAGTAACTGATTTAATCAAGAGAAACTCTTCCTCCCACTTGTCTTTCCCACTACCTTTGGACTTCCTGTACCTTTCTGTACTTCAGAAAACCAATGTCTTTTTCTGTTCTAAGAACAACTTTGTTTTCCTACATGTATTGCATCCCTTCTGTCTTCTCCCTTCCTGCATCTGAATTCTCATATTCCACAGGTGAGTGAAAAAAAGTATTAATCTTTCTTCCTTTCTGTGAGCAACATCCCTGCCATTACACATTTTATATAGTGAAGTTTGTGGCACAAAACTGATGCTGGTCATTGAGCATAAGAAAGATGGAGCAATGTTTTGTTGTGTGAGCCAAGAAAGGATTCCAAAAATGTTTTTATCCAAGTTCAGATCTCTGGCAAACAGTGAGGTGCAGCTCCACGTTGAAAGCCTTCTCAAGAGTGTGGTTGATATATTTACAGGACTCCCATCTGAAGGTGATCATGCAAGGAAGACTTATTCCAATGAGCTTTTTATATGTGTAGCCTTATGGAGCTGACATTACCTAAGACATGGCTTTATCAAGTAGCAAAGAGACATAGACTGCCACAGTATCAGATATAGGGACATTTCAAGGATATTGGTGTATGTTTTATAAAACTGAAGGGAAAATTCCTTGCCAGAATATATAACACATCTCCTTATCTTTATTTTTAATTCACATTTATGACTAAATCTTATGATGTAAACAAGACCGAGAAGCAGTTTTTTACAAGCTGCAAAAATTGGGACTATAAATACGATTATTAAAAATACAGCTTAATATATTTTATGAATAAGCTGGGAATAGACTTTTTAAAGTTTGTTTTTGATACAAAGCCAAGTAAGACAAGATCCAGCCATCATGTGTTGGGTTGATGGTTGGACTTGATGATCTTAAAGGCCTTTTCTAACCTTAATGATTCTGTGATTCCGTGATCATGTGAATAGTGAGTTAGGTGGGGACTACACAGCCAGGAAGCTATGGTGATGCGTGTCTTGCTATGAGGAGTGTATATTGTATCAGCTGTGCTCATGGAGGTCAAGGTTGGGTCAGTTT